TGTCTTTAATGCTTACCAGAAATAAATAAATGGATTTTAAAATGCACAGTGCTGTGATGGTTTTTGCTTCCTTAATGAAGGACAACAGGAATCATATTGGGCACTCACAGGGAGAAGGGAGCCTTCACCTTCTGGTCCTACGCTCTGGGCTTCACTTTTCCCAGCAGCTCCATCCTTTGCTGGAAGTTCTGCCATGTGCTGCACAAAATCCTGCGAGACGGGCACCGCAATGTAAGGCACCAAGTACCCTCCTCTGCATTTCTGTTACTACCTAAAGCGCCAGACGCTGGAGTGCAATTAAGGCAAAATTTTAAAACCTGTGACTGTTTGAATAATTTGTACGACAAAGTTTGAGTTTTTATTCATTCAGCCTGTTATCTTCACAGGTTCTACAAGACTGCACGAGACATTACAGCTCCATGGTTGAAATCGGGGAAATATGGGTGAGTCCTTGGATCTTATTATAGTTCAGAAACTAATCATAATTTTATAAAGGCAATTTTAGAGTTTTGTTGTTTTTGTTTTTTTTTAAAAAGGCCCATTGAGTCTGTTTTATGAAGTTTTTTTTTTCCTTTTAAACTTGCTCATCTAGTGTTGTTAATTACACATTCACCTAACAAGGGAGGAGAAACAAATCGTGATATTTTTTATTTTATTTTTTTACTTATGGGGCATAAATAAGAAATGCCAAATTAATACAGGCAGAGTGACCTGCTGTGGCAAGCCCTTGTGCTGAGAGCATCTAAACATTGTCTGGTAGAAATGATGCCACCTGAAATCTGCTTTTGAACAGTGTGACACCCTGAAGCTCTTTCATCGTTAAACAGCCATCACTTGTTTCACTTTCGCTTTCTTCTGTACCAGCGTCCACCATTTTAGCCAGCTGGTCATTGCTACAGGTGGCTGATTTCCTTAGTTCCTTCTTACATAATTTAGGGATTAATAAAGTGAAACAAAAGCACTGGCCTCTCTCTGTTGTTGGTTGAGCCTTTGTTTCCCAGTCAAATCCAGAAATGAATATTTTATAGCTGCTACATTGTTCAGTCAACATTTGGCTCTTTTAATGATGAATTAACTCAAAAATGCCTCTTGCCCATTTAACCCATGCTCTTCTCACTCCTTGGGGTTTTCAGGGCAACCTCCATGACAGATACGGACAGCTGGTGACTCTCTACTCGAAGCTGCTCTGCACAAAACTGAAGTTTCATACGAAGGTAAATGCACCATCACTCATGTTTTACATGCACTTTATGTGAATGGATAATTCAACCACATTTGCATTACAAATCTCATGAAGCTGCACCTCATTGTAGCATGGCGATATCCCAGCAAACCTGGAGATCACAGATGAAGAGCTGGAGCGCGCTGCAGGAACAGACATTAATAATGTGTGAGTTTCATAATATTTAATGGACCTTTAGGTGCCTGTGTAGCCTTAAATCCCTGTCTTCCTCAGTCTTATACTGCTGTCAGCTGCATTTGTTAATAAAATAAACAGACAGGCCCTGCTGTGTCATTTCGCAGGGTCGTAGTTTGAGTGCGTGTCCTTTTCAGTCTAACAAAGGTATCAACTTCTCTCCTGCAGGTTCCAGCTCTCTGTGGAAGTGTTTGATTACATGGACGCAGAGCTGCGGCTGGCTGAGACAGGTGAAAACAAAAACTCATCCCACCTTTCCTCCCCTCTGTCTTTCCAAGGAGGCGTAACCTGAGTCGAGGTTGAGAGCTGCTGCCTGCTGACATTATCTATTAATGCACAAAAGCTAAGAGCCTTTCAAAACAGGACTGTGAGCAGCTCTCAGTCTTTCTGTTTTCACAGACTGCAGTTTGTTTTCTTCATGAAGTGGCTTCAGTTACTCTTGGCTCAGTTTTGACTCGTCATTGTTTTGTTTTTTTTGTTTGTTTGTTTTTTACTTGTGAGGAAATGCTTGCAATTAGAAGACATTAAGCAACTTCCTCCAGTTTAGCAGTAATGCTATGATCCTCCCAGTCCCTGCAGGGCGGAGGTCCGGCAACACGTATCAGACTAAACAGAATTTTGCAATGTGGTTGCCCTCAATAGACCTTGAGTCATATCCAGAAAAATATTCAACTCAGAAATTTTCAAAATAAAATGCAGCCAACTAATTAAGTAGCAATTGCTCTCTCTTTTTTTTGTTTTTTGTTTTTTTTTTTT